CTACATACTTTTATGTACCTCATTACATACCTACATACTTTTACATATCTACTACATAATCATCACATAATTTTCATAATTTTCTCCTTTTACATAATGTTTTAAGTGTATTCCCTCAAGTATAATTATTCAGATTGATATAATGAAGATAAATTATCTCAGTATTTAAAAGCTGTTTTCATAACATGGGCCTTCTTTGTTTTTGAATAATAGCCATAGCTCTTAATGAGTTCTGAGCTTTATTTTGGGTTTTAAGTCACAGTTGAAGTTGAATAGTAGGTGCATTTTCCCCGTGGCTAAAAGATGTTACTGTTAAAAGAAAAGTTAAACTTAGAAGCTTGAAGACAAAGAATTCTATCTTTAAATTAGAAAAAAGTTGTTTCTGATTGCTGAGATATTTGTTTGACAAGCAGTCAGGTGGAAGTAGTACAGTATGAAAGTTAATAGTGTACATAAAAAAAACCTAATCCAAATTAGAAATAAAAAAAAACTTTGCCAAGGTACACTTTCCTTTTATAAAGATGACTAAGGCTAGAGGTAGAAGGACTTAAGAAAAAATGTAATTTAAAAAGAGTTTATGTTTGTAGTTTATTTAGATTTAAGCAGATTGGTATTCCAGGTTGTACTGGTCTGTTTTATTTTATATCTCAAGGTAACACAAGTGTCCAGTACAGTCATTCTATTGAAAATATACTGGCCCTTCCTTTTTCTGCAGTATATGAAATTAATTTTTACTGAGACAAATTAGTCAGGTTTAGGCAGTATTGTCTTTCTTTAGCGGAAACATTTTCATTAAGATCCTTTATCTGATAATGTTTTACTCAGAGTCTTTCTACTGAGGCTATGTAATCCCTCAGATTCAGTTTTAAAAAGATGCTTTGGAATATGAAGGAGCATGAACAGCATTGTCTGTGACCCATTAAAACAACCAAGCCTGTTCCCAGAATTACATGATCACAGCATGTACATAATCCTGCAAATAGACAAGGCTGCTGGAATTAATCACTGATAGGTGCTGCATATATGCTCCCATGATTTCTGAAGCACTCTTCTGAATCAAATGCAAAACATCCTACATACAAGGCATAAATTTTGTTATGGTATTCTAGCATTCTCCAATGCTTTCTACATGTCCACTAGCAGCTAACCAGTAAAGGAAGATGCTGCCTGGATGTTTTTTGTGATACATGACATCAAGAATGCAGTAATTCAGTCATAAGGCCATCTCAGACTAACTGACTATCTACATTGGTCAAAAAGCACTAAGCAGGCTAATGTAGTGGGCAGGTGGGAAGGAAGGAAGGAAGGAAGGAAGGAAGGAAGGAAGGAAGGAAGGAAGGAAGGAAGGAAGGAAGGAAGGAAGGAGAAAACTGTATAACATTTAAACTAATGCCTTTATGGGGTCAGGGGAAGTATGCTTGGAAATTTTCAACCTATGGATAACACAATTTGAAAAAAATGTTCAAACAAACAAGTTAGAGTACTCCAACAAATCCATTGTTCTGCTTGAAATGAGTGTGCTGGAGTTAAAAAAATGCATTAAAAGAGAATTCACTGCTTTTTTCTTTGGTATATGTACTATAAGGAAAAAGTCCCTTCTAATGTGAACAATATAATTTCTGGTTAGACTTTTCAGGATACTGATCCAAGATTTGATTGCAATACAAATCACACTAGTACAATCAAGGAAATCTAAAATATTATAGATTACTAAGCACATGAGCATTAATAATTAGGCAATTACAAAAAAAAATATGAAGTACACATTATTGTTGCTGTTATTATATTTTTATCCCACCTTTGCTAAAATGTTTACAGTAAACAGTTCAAAATCAAATCAATCTTTATTATGGTCATAGACCTGGATAAATAAACCATTTCTCTTGAACCCCAAAAAACAACAATAGTGAATACTGAAATAAATAACAAACTACCATTAATCCTCAATTTATGACCACAATTGAGCCTAAAAGTTATGTTTTTAAGTAAGAAATTTGTTAAGTGAATTTTTCCCCATTTGACGTCTTTTCTTGCCACATTTCTTAAGTGAATCACTGCAGTTGTTAAATTAGTAACAAGTTTGTTAAGTGAATCAGATTTGCCCACTGACTTTGTTTGTCAGAAGATTGCAAAAGGGGATCACGTGATCCCAGGGCACTGCAACCATCATAAATGTCAGCCAATTGTCAAGCATCTAAATGTAAATCACATGACCATGGGGATGCTGCAATGGTCATAAGTGTGAAAAATGGTCATAAGTCACTTTTTTCAGTGTTGTAACTTTGAACAGTCACTACTAAGTGAACTATTGTAAGTCAAGTACTATATTAGCTAACAAAAGATAGAATATCTGAATATATTTTTACATATTGCAGAACATAAAGAATAAATATATGTAAAATAACTATGATTTGTGGAAAAAAACCCTGAATGTGGAGTTTGTAGTTGAAAGATTAAAATTCTAAGATTGCATTCAATTTACTTGACAGTTCTTAATGAATTTCGTGTAAAAATATTGATTCATTATCAAAATGATATGATGTTACTAAAATTGGCTTCTATATGGACGACTAGAATGTTAGCAAGAAATCATTGATTTTTTTTCCTAAATAGTACTTAGGAAGTTATTGCAATTTTAAACTTAACATCTGTATAAATAGATTGAAACTAGAGTTTTTATTAAAGCTACAGTTGTTAAACATAAGGAAGAAAATGCTCTCCCAAGAATATACTGTATTAGCTGATTTTTAAAGAAGGAAATCCTCACTATTATTTTGAGATATTAACGGAGAAATTAAAATTTTAATAATGATGATGGAATGATGGAATAGATTAAATACACTTGGATTCTGAAATATCATTCCAAAGGGTCTTGAATAAATTTAGAAATCATAAAATAATCCATTAGTCTTCAATCTTTTGGGCTAATAGCACTGATCATCTTACACAGACAATCTTTTTATAAATAAATGTTTCAAAGCAGATTGATGATTCCAGTTGCCTGTCGTTGTAGTCTTCATTTACAACCATAATAAAGAAATATTCTAGAAAATGAAAGTAACAGATAACCAAAACATTTCTCTCTTTTTTAAAAAAGCCACATTAAAAATAATATAAACTACTAAAATCAGGAGCACTTTTGGGCATTGGAAGAGGATTCAGGGATCATTGGAATTGGCAGTGCAGAACTTTTGTCAGAGTTGAATGAAATTTGGTGGCATAAAGAACATTACATGAAGGAGATAAATTTAATATTCTTTTCCTATTGGAATTTCTTCTGTTGCTTCTCTACTATTGCATTCAAATTTTACATCAATGTGCACCATACAATCTTTTTCTTATTTGGGTTGTTAATTATATTTTGCCAACAGTTTATAGATAAGGCCCAGCAAATGTTCCAAATTACGTATTATGAGATTTTGAAATTCAATTACTTGTTTCTGCAACTCTTTTAGTACAATACTACTTATCTAAAAATATTGAAATCAATCAGGTAGACTGGACCATTATAAATCAAGTCTCTGAAAATATTTTATCTTTCTCTTATTAATAATTAAACTTTGCAAACTAAATGACATTAGTTCTTTACTGAGCTTTTAATGCTTTTCTATTCATGGAAATAAACATTTAATAGCAAAACAAGAGAAGAGAATTTGGACTTACTGTTTTTCTGTTTATATTCCAGACAGTCAATATTTTACTTACTGCATTATCTTTTATACATTGTTTATCTCTGTTTATATTATCCCAAAGATATTTATGCAAATTCTCTGAAAATCCTGCTCCTTCCAGAAAGGTAGCTAGACTATAAGGGGATACATTCTCATCTGAAATCTGACAAATACCACTGTTTCCACTTTTGATCTCTCTCTCTCTCTCTCTCTCTCTCTCTCTCTCTCTCTCTCTCTCTCTCTCTCTCTCTCTCTCCCTCCCTCCCTCCCTCTCCCTCCTCCCTCCCTCTCCCTCCCTCCCTCCCCCCCTCTCTCTCCATCATGTCTTTTGATCCACTATATCTTATAAAATTCATGAAAATAATTTTTAAACAATGCATTGCTTATTTTTCTACTTATTCAGAGTAAGGGTAATGTTTTCAATATTTTCTAGCAAAGGTTCACCATATTAGTTGGTTACAAGAGAAACACCAACGTGTTTTCACTATCTTAAAGATTAAGAGTACATTGTGACATTTGTTTGTTGTGGTCAATTTTCTTCTTCTTCTGTTCAGTCCTGTCTGATTCTTGGAGGCTGCCTAGACAAATCCCTGTAGTTTTCTTGACAAGGTTTTCAAAAGTGGTTTGTCATTGCCCCCTTCCTACGGCTCCTCCAGGGGTGCATTCAGCCAGTTCTCCGAACTCAACAAAATTTAGCTACCGGTTCTACCAAACTGGTGCGAACTGGCTAAATCCCATCACTGTTGAGAACCACTGGTATACATCATTAAAAGTCACAATAAATGACTGAGTCTTACAGATGCTACACAAATTTTCCAGCCATGCTCCCACAATGTTTTTTAGTGGATTGAGTTGGGAATTAAATGCATTGTGGGAATCCCAGAAAGGAGCCAGCTATGTTGGATTTGGTACCAAACAGATCCAGTCATGCTATATTAAGCTAACAGGTCATCCATGTGACAGGAACTCCCAAATTATGAGAGATCAAATAGGGTTTGAAGTGAGTGGGATGTAAACATTTTTGTATGAATTGGATCTTAGAATATCACCAGTTTTTCTGTTAGTTATTTTTCTTCCTTCTCTCTTTCCCTTTCACACTCATTGGTCCTGCTTGGCCAGTGGGGAAAGGGTGAAGATGTTATGAAACCTTGCCAATACTTGTGTGAGGTCAGGTTCATGGGGTACCTGGCACTTCCTTGAGAAATTGGTTGATTCCCAAAGTGTATCTTCAGTAATTGTAACCTATCAGAACCATTGTAAATGAGATTTAACAGGATTAATGATTGACCCAATCAGTCTTTAACAAGTTTTTTTCTCCCTTATAATTAGCATATTTTCTGCAATCCAGAAAACAAGTTCCTGGAGCAGTTTCAACTCCATCTACAGCCCAGGTAACATCTATTACCAATACGTTTAGACAGTGTAGTTTAATGTGAGTCTGTGAAACCAAAAAGTTACTTCTAGAGAGGACTCAGGAGATAACCAAGACTTGTGGGAGATTTCTGTCAGCACATCATCAAGGCATGGTATTTTGGTGAGTTTTTATGATCCCTGCTAGATTGGTCCAGTGACTTGGCATATTGTCTAGAGAGACTTTCTAATCTATAATGAAAAAAGAGGCATATTTCCAAGAAATGTTTGTATTTTGTTAACTAGTGTACACATTTTCTCTGGAATTTTTCCAAGGTTTATAATGTTACAAGTTTGAAATAATGCCATAAGGAAGATGGCCAAATTAGTATTGTGCATGAAATTCAAAATAGTGGTTGAAATTAGTCAGCAACCAAAGGAACCTTACAAAAGGCAATTGAACAATTGATACGGAATACCATTTGCAGTGAGACTTGGGCCTGGAAATCTGTCTCATTTCCTGATACAGTTGGGGTTTCAAAATCAGAAGAACACCTGACAGTCAATTTGAACAATATTTATCAAAACAATATTGATCTGCTGCTACCCCAGGACTGTATATAGCTCATGAGCCCTATTTATCAAAGCCCAGAGTCTCCTTTTGTCATAGCTGCAAAAAAATAAGTTTAACTTTGCTTTAACAAACATACTTCAAAATTCTTTGCCCAAACCATGGCACATAGAATTCAACAACCCAAGCCACATCTCTTTGCTTCATCACTCTTTCCACTGCAGTCTTCGAACTCTTTCCAAATACTATGTACTGTAGTTTCAAAATATTGTCCAGTCTTGAACTAGATGAACCATAGCTTGACTTGCTTTAAAACATCTTATTATGTTCTTAGAAGTTACTGAATTGACTTTATTTTGGGAGACATGCTCCATAACCTATTTGGCCTTCATAGGTAGGACCGAACAAATAGTATCACTTCCTCATCTATAAATAATAATATCTTTATTTTGAATAGATGAAGCCTTCTACAAGTCACAACTTTAGATTCATACTCATTTTGTCAGCTTCTTGCTCACCCAGAATTCTTCTTTTTCCACAAACACAATTGCACATTCCATAAGATTTGTTGTTTTTGATGGTTTGTACTTATCTATCCACTTGCAAGAGAAAAGAAGGCATATGACAACTGATTCTCTGAGATATTTAATAGTCTAGTATTTAAGTAAATAGGTATGTTGATGCAACTGAAGTTCAAAACACCTGTTAGATTGTCACAACAATAATGTACTGATTATAACAGATTGAATTGAAATTTATTTTACAAGCAGTTTTTTCATGAATGAGCAAATAAACCAGATGTTTGTGGTTGAAAAACCTGAGGAACGAAAAAAGGAATCACACACTTTAGGGTATATTCACATGGTCTATCTTCCATACACAAATTTTATAAACATGCAGCAAGATGATGACCAGATGGTGACCAGGTGGTGGACAAATGTGAATAATCATACCAGATTTCTTGTGGGAATATTCATATTATACACAGATTATATGGGCTAATTTCAGCCGTAGGCTTTACATTTAAACCTCTGTCATTTGAACTGCAAAAGCCACTAATAAGCTTTTAAAAAATAAATTAGTAACAGAAATAACTTCCCCAACAAAATGCAAAGCACTTTCTAGAAGACCATGCATTTTACCAGGCAAAGCAGCTGAATGACTAGACTATAGCATTAGCTCAAATAGAGTTGTTGTTGTGGGCAAAGTAGGAGGCAGCCAAAACTTAACAAATGTAGTTAAATAGAATCAAATGATATAATTCAATAAAGTATTCCTTGGCATCCCTCCTCTGGCAACAATTTTAACAATTAACATCTTCGTGAATCTGGGTCCTACCTATTTTCTTGAACATCAGAACGAAGGGTAACATATCTATTTCTGAGAGGTGACTGTTGAAGTGGGATGGAGGCTTAACTGAAAAGCACTGGATCATGTTCCGACCTAAATTTCAAGTAGTAGGAGAACTCTTAATTTCATTATGTATCCATGTGGGGTGTTTGTCTCTCTGTGTGTGTACTTATTATCAGCAGTTAGTCCATTGCAAAATGAAAACATCTTCACTGAAGGTTAAAGATTATACTCTATCAAGCTGGTCCAACTGCAGGTTAGTAGATAGAGTTTTTTTCTAACTTCTCAGTCTAGGGCTGAGAGAAAGTATCTGGCCCTAAGTCACCCAAACAGTTTTCCATACCTAAAGAAGTACTATAATTGGTATCTCCTGTTCCTACCCTAGCATCATAGTCACTACACTACATTGGGTCCTGGATAAGCATCAATCTAATGCTCTTCAAATAGCTTAGACTTTCAGAGTTCATGAAAATGTGTCTTAGAATTTCACATTGTTGCTTTTATATGATGTCTAAATATGTGAAATTACTATTTTCTAAAATTAATATAATTCTTGCTTTCATGTCTATCAAAACTAAATAGTTAAAGTGAATATATTCCATGTGAATATATAATATTCATACTTCAAGAAAAAATGTTGGTTGAATTTATTATTTTTTGCTAATTCAACTGTTTGGGCTAACTTGTTTCATAACTGAAACCCTGAAGTGCTTATAAACATATCATTTATCCATGATGGAGGTATATACAATCACACAATATCATCAGACTAAAAGTTGAAAACTGGATAATAATAGTTTACTAAGAAATACAGAACCATAAAAAAATGATAGTTTCTCTGTGTTCTCCCTATTTAAAAAAATAGACACATTCTTTTCTACACCAGATGAAGCAACTACTAAAGAGTCTTGAGGTTGTAATCTGAGATGTATTTTCCCAGCCTATGATGAAGTAGTGCTACACCCTCTTGAAAAGACAACAGCACCCACCGGGTTTATTAGCACTAGCATTCTCTTGATCCCCCAAAGATTGCCAGAAATTTTCAAAGGGGAAAAGATAAATCAGACCATCATGTTTAATCTTACAAGAGTAATCAAACAAGTCCTTTCTAACAATTTGAAAACTAATCTGTCTTAGTCCATTCCATGACAGAGTGAGATACTAACAGCCAATCTCCCTATTTTATTTTCACCACCACCTTCTTAACATCCAACTCTCAGTTGCCAAATACTGAAAGTTAGGATTACTTGGCATTGTGAACTGTATTAGAGTTTACAGCAGGAGCAGCCAACCTGGGTTAAATAAATCAGTGACCAGGAACAAATGTGACCTTTCTTTCATATCCCTGTCCAAGCTCTGAGTATAGTTTATTGCTTTTGACCTTACTGGCCCATACCCATGCACTCTATTTTTTCTGAGCCATAGATACTTTAAATGTGATATATATAGCATTATAAATTAACATGGAACAGAGATGGACTTTGTTCAAAATTGTTGATAGAAGCTGATTCACTGTCATTTGACTGTCTTTTATCCAAAAAGCATTTGCAATAAATAAGTTACTTTATTGCCAAATAATATCCCTTAATGTAACTATTGCAAATAGTAATTTCTTGATTTAAGTCAAGAGGCACACAATATTTGGAGGCTAAGGTATGGTCTTTGAAGGCGGTACCAAGGCAGCACGTCCAAAAGCAGAATGAATAAAGACACAGGAATAGCAGGGACTGATCAAATATTAAATTTGTTGAAGTTCAAATTTCAAATGAATGTGATTAATATGATTATCCTCCTCTGATTAATATAGTTAATATGATTACCCTCCCCCCTTTAAAAAATCATATTCTATCACATTAGATTACAGTGCACAGAAAATGATGAGAAAGTTCTGTGCAGTGGGTATCAAATTTGAAAATTTTTGGAGCCACATAGAGCTCTTGTTCATTTCTGTATCGATAAGGATAGGATGCTGCATAAAGCAAAATTGTTGCAGAAGTCCGTCCCTGAATCTTTGAGAATAGTTGATGTGTCATCATCATCATGATTAACAATGCTTGATAATGTGACTCATTATGCTTTTTTATAATGTACAGAGTATATTTACTGTGATCATCCACAATACCACACAATTTATTTTGGAAATTCTTTCATTCACCTGTGTCCTATGCTCTATAATATAATAATCCTTATAAAAACAGTCTTTCAATTTTACAAAATCCAATCTGGGTCAGTCATCAGGACCAGAGGTTTAGTCTTCTGGGACACCTATATTTGCCTTCATTTGTGTTTAGATTTTATTTATTTATATATTTATATAAATAATATACATGTCACATGTTCCGACTAATGAAGCACTTCAAAGAACTTTCAGGCATGTTTCCTAAAATCTTTATTGCAGAGCTACAGTTTTGCCGGTCGCCATGATGGACTGGTTGATGCCAGAATCTGAACTTCCTTTCGCTGGCATCAAGCTTTCCTTGCTAAACCCCTCCCTTCTTATGCAGTCACAGGTCACATTATCCAATTAGTGAGAAGGTCAAAAGTTTGCTTCCTCTTTCTTTCCCGGGCTTTTTCCCCCTCCCAGTCTAAGCTAAGTATTAACCCAATAAATGCCAGACAGTTTTGCATATTGTCAAAGCAAGAATATACAGTATTTGCAGCATTGACAATACATCTATAGCTTTTATTTATACAATATGGGGTGTGATGGCTCAGTGGTTAAAGACACTGAGCTCGTCAGCTGAGAAGTTGATAGCCTGGGTTTGAGATCTAAGCACCACGCAACAGTGTCAGCTCCAGTTCCTGCCCCAGCTCCTGCCCACCTAGCAATTCAAAAGCATGCAAATGTGAGTAGATTAATAGGTACCACTTTGGTAGGAAAGTAACAGCAGAATAACAGAGTTCGAAAAGACCTTGGAGGTCTTCTTAGTCCAACCGCCTGCCCTGGCAGGAAACCCTATACCAAGGGTAGGCAACCTTGGCTCTTTTATGACTCGTGAACTTCAATTTCCAGTTAAAGTCCACGAGTCATAAAAGAGCCAAGGTTGCCTACCTCTGCCCTATACTATTTCAGACAAATGGTTGTCCAATCTCTTCTGTAAAACTTCCAGTGTTGGAACA